ACAGTGAAAACAGAGGTTATATCGTGGGGGAAGATAATACCAAAGAAACAAAATAAACACATAGTACATTATAAATATGTTAAAAAAACAATAGCAAGAAAGAAAAAACCACTTGTGTCCCTATCTTGGGGTTCATTTTGCTTAGCATCATCTTATATGGTCATAGACATAGCTTCTGACCTTTTCTGTTTGTCTCAGACATATACTAGTTATTGCAAATAAGAGAAGCCATGGAATCTATGTTTCTTTGGGCCTGGCTTGCTTCTCTTAATATAATTTTTTCCAAGTCTTTCCATTTCCTAACAAATGGGGCGATGTCATTCTTTCTGATGGGAGGCATAGAATTGTTATCTCTTCTTATCCAAAGTTTTCCACTACAGTACTTCCCTGGATTTTGTAACCCAGCAACCTTGGGGTAAGCAGCGAAAACATTCCTGTTGTTGAGTGGTGCCTAGGAACTGACTGTTTTCCTTCTACACAGACACAGCCTACTTCAGAACTAAGCCTCCAGCTGTCCTTTGGGTGAATGGGGTCACACGCTCTCCCAGAACACCAGTGGAGTTATCAGGGCTACAATACTTGGCCCAGCTGTTGTTGAGAAGATTGAAGGTCTGGGATGAATGAAAAGAGCTTGTCAGACAAATGTGTGGTTATGACCTCTGAGAGCCATGGTGGCAGCAGGGACAGACCTCCAAAGCCATCATGGGAGACAAGGTGCCAGAACCTTCCCAGAACCTCACTTTGGAGCTTCCAAGCATCATGGTTCTATTAAATCAATTTGTTCTTCATTCCTAATCAAACAACTTTTTAACTGGACTTGGGCTGCTGATAGTGACCTGTTTCTGGATCTAGTTCGTGAATGTGTGTTTTGAAACTCTTCCAAATAATCATGTGAGTCCTGGCTTGGAGAGGGGGAACGGCCACATTAAAGCCAAGCAGTAGCATCTGAGGATCCTCCACCCACTATGTGAGGCTCAGATAAACACCATCAATGCCGAATCCTCTCAACATCTCTCCAACATCTAAATAGAATCATTTTTTGCCATGGACTCCCTGTGCGATGCTAATGTGCCACTGAAGCTTTCCTGGGTCTCTCATTAGTCTCATTCTTGAAAGAGGTTGAAGTTTTGTATTAGTATCTCAGAGACAAGCACAGGCCATAGATGATATGAGACCAATGTTTCTGTGTCCCCATAGCAAGTGACACTGTCTCCACAATCCTGGTCCTAAGTCTTAAATCTGTTGCTGCCTCCTCCTCTCCATCTCTCTGCCTTTCTTCAGCTCCTGTCTATTTCTTCTCTGGGCTATTGAAGTGGTTCCTGCATGGGTTATGTGACTCTCCAAAAGAGTCATTTTGTACCCCAAGGGATATTTGGTAATATATAAAGATACTTTGAGTTGCCAAGGCTGATGGAATGCTCTGGTATGCACTAGATGGAAGCCAGAGAGGCTGCTAGGTATCCTATAGTGCACAAGACAGTGCCCCAAGAATGAAGTGCCCTGTTCAAGAGGTCTGTAATAATAATAATTGAAGACCTCAGCTCCAGCATTCTTCCACTCACTATCACAGTGATATGAAATGCAGTTCCCAATCAATTCATCTCCATGTCTGAATCCTTCAGTGCTTTCCAGGACTATCAGGTTAAAATCTAAATGTCCCAACAGGTCATACAAGACCCACTCTCATCTTGGCTATTTCCTGATCTTCTAAGTCACCTTCTCCTTTTCATGTCTCCTCTTTTCTCCAACCACACATGTGGACCAGACCGTGCACATCAACTTCTTCCTATGGCTTCATCCATTCATTCCTTTCCTCACCAATGTTATGTCAGATGCTCTATGGTGACTAAAGAACAAGTCACTCCCAAGACAGCCCAAAGCACTGATATCCAATGATACAGGCAGAAAAGTGATCACACAATTCAGTCAGCAGAAGTAGAACTTACTCATGGACTCTGTGAGCCCACTGTCATCCCTTAATCTGCTTTGAGACACTGGGGAAGAGAAGAGCTTCATCTTTATAATGCACAGCAACCAGCACACTGGAGGTATGCTCTACCAATTGTATAGCTGTTGTGTTAGAGTGCCAATTATGGAATTTCTATCCTCTTGAAATTTGGTGCCATTTTATTTTAGGAATGAGAGGTAGGGATAGGGTCTTGTTATGTAGCCAAGGCTGCCATCAAATTTCCAATCCTCTTGACTCAGCATACTACATGCTGTAATTACAGGCATGTCTCACCATGTCTGATTTCTGTTTATATACTCGGGAAATACAAACCTGTAAATTCAGTATTCTTCTTCTCACTGTTTGACACTCAAAGACAAGAGACATGGAACAGAGGTTTGATAAGCAATAAAGATATGTCAAGAATACAAATCATCCACTGTGTGAACCATACTTTGAATTTCATAGTACCTAATGTAGTTCTGCTCTTATTCTAGATTGAAAGTATCATTCTGTTTATTAACACTATTTTGTTTCTACTTTTCTTTTATGATAGTACTAGGATTTGAATTCAGAATCTCAAGCTTGCTATACAGATGTTCTACAACCTGAACCATGACACCAGCCCATTTTCTTCATTTGAAATTGATTCTATATCCTAAAGTTTGTTATGATCTGTCTGAGTTTCAAATCCCATAAATATGTCCTGGGGCAAATCTCCTGGGGAAAATTTTACTATATAAATTTATATTTGTATATAAAATATATTTATATTCTATATAAATTTTTATAAAAATATATAATATATAAATAATATACAAATAAATATAAACATATATATACACATATGGCTACTTTTAAGAGATAGACCTACCAGTTTAGCTTTGTAGCTGATGAAAGAATTTAAGATGCTTTCTGCAAATAACAGGAAAAATTGAAAATGTAGCTCATGGATTCCTATCCCATAGGATAGTACTTAAAAGTTTATTGCACTTAATTATGACGTACATGTAGTTGTGTAAAAGACAAGGCTAGTATTTAGCAGTAAAATTTCACTATAGAAAAACAGAGTAAAATGGAATTTTGTAACTGAATGGAGTAAAAGGTTTGGGGTAAAGCTTGACCCAGGGCCTCCTTCATAACCCAGGGGGCTCTGAAGGCAGCGGTAGCCTATCTACATTCTCCATACAGCTGTTCAGTCTGGCCTTCCAAATTTTATTCCCATTTATGCTATCTCTTTGCAGAGTTTCATGCATAAAGTGTCTTTTCTCTCCCTTTCTTTATTACTCATACACTCCTCGTTCAAACTGGGGATAATAATTACCTTCAAAAAATGGCTTTCATTCAAAGTAATATTCCAGGCATATGAGATGAAGTCTATAAATCATCAGTGATAAGAAAGAAAGGCCGTTTTTCTTTCACTTGAAACATGCACAAAAACAGACAAGTAACATAGCTTCAGAGGCACTTGGGCTAATAAAATGAACTTACAATGGAACGTATACAGTAAATGGTTAGGACAGACAGCAAGAGCTATTATAACAAGACAGTTCTCATAACCAGGTATCTTGTGGCCAGCTGAAGACAAATGTCTTTTGAGACTCCATCCTTTATGCTTTCCAACCTTTTTCTCTACCTGGGGAAATGTTGGCATCTGACTACCCACCACTTTCCTCATTAATCATCAAAGTATCCTTTCGAGAAAAGATCCTTTATGCTTCAGAGTGACTGGTTGTTGTTTCCTCTCTGAAGACTGAATTCCATGGCAGTTTCTTATTATAAACTGAACAGTTTTCTCCTAAGGAAAGAACTCTTCAAGCAGAAGTTAAGTCATATTTGGCAGACAGAGTCCTGCCCTCTCAAATAGCCAGGTCTCCATCGATGAATGAAAGAAAAGCAAGTTATGTTTATATTTAGGGTTCTAATAACTTAATTTTGTGTGCGTTTGTTGTTAAATTTACTTTGAAATTACTAACAGTGTGAGATTTGTCTCACCATATGTCTGCAGCAAGTGGTGTGCTGAGATACTTTCTAAATTAAATAAAGTATTTACAAAGAAGAAGAGGAGGCAGAAAAGGAGGAAGGGGAAGGGGAGCAACAACCTGTAGGTTAAAAATGGACACTATACATGTAGCCTGTGTCAAAACTATCAGATGAGATAGTTGTGGAAAAGGAAGTAAGAGTCTAGGGAGACGTGGAGGCACAAAGGGTGAGCAGTGTAGAAACAGACAGAATTTTTGTGTGTGTGCTGGTCCTGGGGATTGAGTTCAGCATGTGGGCACTGTCTCTTAGCTTGTTACTCAAGGCTAGCACTGTACCACTTGAACCATACCTCTACTTTGGCTTTTTGGTGGTTATTTGAAGATGAGTGCCATGGACTTCCTGGCCAGGGCTGGCTTTGAACCCTGATTCTTAGATCCCAGCTTCCTGAGTAGCTAGAATTAGAGGCATGAGCCACTGGCTCCCATCTCTTTCCCTCTCCATCTCCCCTTCTGTCCCTTTCCTCCTCTTACCTCCCCCCTTCTCTCTCTGTGATAGTATTGGAGCTTGAATGTAGGGCATTCTGCTCTCACTTGGCTTTTTTGCTGGTTAATTGCAGGAGAGTCTCATGGACTTTTCTATCCAGCTGGATTCCACCTGTGATCCTCAAATCATAGCGTCCTGAGTAGCTAGAATTATAGACATTATCCATCTGTGCCCAGCTTGGAAATCCTTTATAAACAAATCTTGGTTGTCATGGAAACACTGGCTTCCATTCGGATTTTGTGTAATGACGGAAACGTTCTCCTCAGTCTTCGATATGGCAGTCATCAGTCCCGTGTTGCCCACCTGGCTTTGGCAATCTGGCAAGTGTGACTTAGGAACTGGAGCTTTCATTTTTAATAAATGTAGACTTAGTTTGAAATAGCCATACATAGCTGTGGTTGGTTTATTGAACTGTGCAGGTCTAGTGCCATTAATGTTTTCACATAAGATTTTAAAAAACACCTATTAGCTATTAAATTTGTTGGTTTTTCTGAAGCCGGCCTCTAAAACCAATGTCTGGACTTACCCTCACCCAGAGGAATTTCCTCTTCCTGTTCAATTGGGGAAGGAAGCAGAGGCTGCAGGGGCTCCATGTTAATGATGAGTTGTTTGTTCAAGGAGTGTGAGCTGCGGCTCTGAGTGATGTTAACTCTGCAAGCAGACACAAGCCAGGTGAGGTTGGTGTCCACTGTAAACACTGACTCCTCCTTCTCAGTGACTGCCCAAGCTGGGAGCTGCCTTTGGATGTACTCAGTGGACTTGCCAGTGGGACAGATGTGAAACCCTCCAGATGCACACATCTGCTTGTCCTCAAGTTCCTGACACATGCTGCCATGGCCCAGTGGAACACAGTGAAAGAAAATATACTTTCCCAGATGTCATCACCCCAAAGACTGGGTGACCATACAGCATTTTAAAAAGATACCTGAAACAGACTGGGGAGTCAGCCATCAATCAACTGGACATTCAGAAAGGTGAGTGAAGGGTGTAGCTCACTGAATAGCCACTAAATTTCCTGACAGACTATGGCATGGACATTCTACAACTTTGAACCATCTCTGTGTTGCTTACAGTAGTGGCTCATGGCTTTGGACAGGGCCTATGAGTCTGCTTAGAGTTAGGCCAGATGCCGCCTAGAGCAGACTTTTACCTTAGACTCTCTAGTAACGGATACAGAGAGGAATAGAATTTGTTCCCTAAAACCTAATCTCCAATGTAATGGAACTAAGAGGCAAGTCCTGAGTTCAGGACCCCTATAAATAGGCTTAATGGCCTTATAAAATAAGTCTGAGGGAGTTTATCATGTGAGGACTCAGAAAGAAGGTGTCCCCTTTGATGTCATCAGATGTTATATCTGTCAGTGCCTTGATCAAGAACTTCCCAGCCCCAGAACTGGGTAGTTTATAAACTAACCAGTCCATGATATTTTGTTTTAGCAGTTTATATTCACTATACTTACCACCTCCTATAAAATTTTATTCCTTTTACCTCATTTTCTCTTAAACTATAAGTTAGCTGTTTAAAAGAGTTATACCGCCAGGCACCAGTGACTCACACCAGTAATCCTAGCTACTCAGGATGCTGAGATCTGAGGATTGTGGTTCAAAGCCAGCCAGGGCAGGAAAAATCCATGAGACTCTTATCTCCAATAAACCACTCAGAAAACTGGAAGTGGCATTGTGGCTCAAGTGGTAGAGCACTCTTCTTGAGCTGAAGAGCTGAGAGGCAATGCCCAGGCCCCCAGAGTTCAAGCCCCATGACTGACAAAAAAAAAAGTTATACCATTGGAATCCACCCCTCACGTACTATATTTTATAGTCAGTGTGTACATGTGCATATGGCGCTGTATATGTTTTCATATGTCTGTATTTTAGATCTAACATGGGTATGTTATTTTTCATACATATATTGTGAACTGTTGAGAAAATCCAAAGTAATAAAGTGCATACAAACTACATTTGCTAGTTCATCTTCAGTTCCCAAGGGAAGCTTTTCTACTACAATAGATTTCTTAATGAGTGTTTTTGAGACAGTTCTAGGCATGAGTCAGCTGTAAGGTGGCTGCATTGTTGGAGTAAGCCAGCGGATGGATTTCAAACGTAGAGAATCATGGCATATGTCCTGGCCTTGCCTAACTGCCAAGTCTATGAGGACTCCTTCAGCATTGAGTATTTTCTTTTCTTTTTAAAATCAAATGCTCCACTTCAAAGTGAGAGACGAAAACCTGAGCTGAGACACTTGAGACAGTTCTGCCTCTACTGCCACCTTCTAAGAGAATGCCCAAGGCTTTCAGAGTGGCAAGGGCCATGGAGATAAGAGCTCAGGGAAGAGAAGAGGACACTGGAGCTCTAGGCTTAGGTGCACATACACATACACTCAAAACAATTTGGCTGACTCTGTTTTATCTAATCCAAGACTCAATTTCCTGTCAAGCAATTCCTGTAGAAGTAATGAATGAAGTGATCCCTGAGGTTGTTTCCAAACCAGAGATTCCAAGAAAATTTTGTCATTTCCTATTCTTCCTTTCTGCTGTGTGGAATGGCTGTAGTGTTGGCAGAAGACCCCATCCTGTGGTCCATAAAAGGCTCTCTCATTGATGGGCAGCCTTGTGGACGTTCAGGTGCGCATGGCGGTGCTTGGCCATTATGTTCAGTTTCCCTAGCTCTGTAGCTTTATTCTGCTTTTTTTTTAAGAAGCAGGAGATACCGCATATGATGTGCCAGCGCTCTACCAGGCCACCCCAAAGCATAATTTGTATGCATCTGCATGGTAGCTCCTGCTGATTGGGATTCTGTCTTTTTGTAAGAGAAGAATCATCCCGATGCCCTCGCCATGTTGGCCTCATTTCACACACACACACACACACACACACAGAGTCAGGACAAGGAGTGGTACCTACCTAGCACACTCCAGAAATGGAGGAGACATAAATAAAATTCCTCTGGGTTCCAAGGATAGGAAAGGAAGGAAGGAGGGCTGCTGCCAGCATGGGAGAGAATTTTCTGAGGAATTTAGCTTATGATGTTGCCTTAAAGAGGAGGAGGCACAATACTGAGCATGTTCAGCATTAGAGTAGTTAGCATGTCTGAGAGTTCAGAAGTGGAATGTGTACGTTGTGCACAGAGTGAAGGCCCAGCCAGGCCAAGATGATTGTTAATCCCTAAAATTACCATCAATTGTTGTCTTCATGAACATGCATACTCTTAAATCAATAATGACCAAGCCCTCATTCCTCTGGGTGACCCTTGGAAATAAAGGACCCCTGACAGGTGAGCCTCTTCCCTCAGAGACCAAGAAGGAGTGAGGCCAATAGGAACTGTCTAGTGAGTGAGAGACCAGGTGGGACAAGGGAGTGTGGCCAGGAGATTGGTGCACACCCTGCTCGTTCATGTGATGTTCCAGACCTAATCAGTGACTGCAGAGCAGATGATTCAAAAAGGCCCATCTCTTCTCATGCCACAGCCAGGCCAAATTTGGGGTGGGTGTGGCCATATTTAATACTTGGGTCACAGCATATAGGGTCCTCAATATACAGCTGAAGATTGGGGAAAAAGAGCTGTTTTAGTGTTTTTTTATAGTGTTGGGGATCAGACTCAGAGCATCACACATGATAAGCCAACATTATGGGAAAGCCATGGTATGTGTGGGAGGGTATGGGTACTGAGGCTTAAAGTCAAGGCCTTATACTCTCACTTGGCTTTTTCACTCAAAGCAGGTGCTCTACCACTTAAGCCACACCTCTACTTCTGATTTTTTGGTGCCAGTCCTGGGGCTTGAACTCAGAGCCTGGGCCCTACTGTCCCTGAACTCTTGTGCTCAAGGCTAGCATTCTGCCACTTCAGCCACAGCTCTACTTCTGGGTTTTTTAATATATTTAATTGGAGGTAAGAGTCTTACAGACTTTCCTGCCTGGACTGGCTTTGAACCACAATCCTCCAATCTCAGTCTTTTGGGTAGCTAGAATTATAGGCATGAACCACCAGCACCTGGCTACTTCCAATTTTTTGAGGTTAATTAGAGATAAGAGTCTCATGGATTTTACTGCCTGGGTTGGTTTTGAATCAGGATGCTCATATCTCAGCTTCCTGAATAGCTAGGATGAGCCAACAGCTCCAAGTGAAAAGCCAACTTTTAAATCCCCATGTCCATTGCAGAACAAGCTGAGGGAGCACCCCACTCACCTGTGCACCTCGGGAGGTTCCCTCTGGATCTTGGAGCTTGCCTCTACCACCTCCTTGGCAACTTTGCCACTGCAAAAGACAGAACACAATGCATGTACATGGACAATCAGTGGAAATGTGGGGAGGGGAGGGGAGGGTGGGGAGGGGAGGGGAGGAGGAAGCATGCACACATGTCCCTTTTCCTTTAGAATCACAGTGGTCTGAGCCACAAGTGAAAATCCACCCCTTTCTTTCTTCAATTAGGGGACCTTCTTATGGAGGATGAAAGTCATATGACTAGACTGTGATGAAGGGAAATGGTAGAGTACCTCAAAGGCATAACCCCAAGTGAACTTACTTGCAAGTAAAACAATTAAGTACAAATGGCTGCTTCCCCAATCCCAACCCTATTGCTAGTGGTACCCACCTATATCGAAATCTACTTCCTTTAAAAAATATCTTGCTGCTTGACACAGTCTTGATTTGACTGGATTTTGCATACCTTTAAGAAAAAGCAAAGCAGAGGTGATAATGACATTGGGGAGTTCAAGGAACATGGTACAGAGCCGCAGTAATCGGATAAACTTTGAATCTAAGAAATAAATTCATTTGATATGGTGGCCCAATATGTTCACACAGGAACTGAAAGAGAGGTTACACAAAGGAGCCATTACATTACGTGAATGGTAACTTGAGGTCATCGCTGATATCTATGGTTTAGTGCAAATCTGAACACTGGTCGTGACCAACATATTTGGTTTTCTAACTCAGGTCAAGGCCTGTGTAAAGGAGTAGGGAGGATGAGCAGAAAGGACTCTTCCCTGGTTTCTAGTTGAGAGACACAGAGAATGATCTTTGTGACATGGCATAGTCAACTTCATTGGTGCTGAGGGCATGTTGGTTGTGCTGTGTCAAAACTGCAACAGTAAACAGGTTCCTGGCCATACAGGTCACTTGTGTTACAAAGAACTCACTGTGTGTTGCCCAAGCAAAGAACAAAGGCTGTGGCACCATGGCCTTGTCACTGGCTTCTATGTCACCATGACCTAGAGCCCTTTAACAGAATTCACACTGGGAGAGGACTAAAATTTAGAAGGAATGAGAGGCCTAGCCATGCACAGTCTCGCACATCTGAGAATAGCTATAAATAAGAACAAAACAACAGCACTCTGAAAACCAACCAAGAACATGGGGCTACCCCAGGCCAAACACAGGGGTCTAAATTATTATAGTATTTGAAAATGCCTCTACAACAGTTACTTTAAGCCTTCTGCAGTTAAATTAAAAAAAGATGAAAGAGAACAGCTCTTCCATAGCTTGAGATCATTAGAAGTACTGATCATCACAAAATCTCTTAAAAAGATACAAAACAGGGCTGGGAAGGTGGCTCAGTGGTAGAGCGCTTGCCTTGCATGCTCAAGGCCCTGGGTTCGATTCCTCAGCACCACATAAGCAAAAAGAAA